ATGCGGTATTGTGGTTAAATGTTGGATCAGCACCTGAGAGACTCAAGTTTTAATTCTCCCTTAGACTCTGAAGCAGGCTGGATGATTTTGGCACCAATCTCTCTCTCTCTCTCTCTCTCTCTCTCTCTCTCTCTCTCTCTCTCTCTCTCTCTCTCTCCCTCCCTCTCTGTCTCCCCTAGATTGGGAAGTTGAAAAATATTTTTGAACCAGCACTAGAGCAGTGTGGTAGATTTGCGCCTGTAACTTTCACCTTGCAGGATATATGCTTAAATTAAAGAGAGCATCACTGTTTATGATGAAATTCATGAAAACATATATAAAAGTAAATTGCTATTTCAGTATTTTTAAATAGAAGATCTGCATGGACTATTGTTAATTACTACTAATTGAATCTACCTTGTCAACATCTCTTTTCAGAAAAAAATGGATTGCATTTGCCTGACAAAAAATACCAAACAGCAAAAATCAGAGTAGCCTGCAATGTTTCACTAGCAGACATAATCTTGTTTATTTGCTTTTAAAAATTGCATTTAGAAAAGGAAATCGGTTTGCACCACTGACATTCTGCCAGATTCCTGTTTATAAACACATCAGGCAATGTCAAGAGCAAAAACAAAATCCATATAGGACTTCAATGTTATTAACTCAAATATAAATAAAAAGCTGGCCATTCAGTTTAATTCCCTGCTTTGCAGCCTTAGGATGCTATGCAGTTATCTTAGAGTGGCTTATACTAAATGACCCTAATTGTGCTGTACACATTTAGTACTGCTGAAATTTCATTGGAACATAAGAAGTGCTTTGTGTGGAATGCTGATTGAATGATGATCTCAGTCATTTGATTGTTTGAGAAATAAATAACCTTTAGTCTGTGCAGTATAGGGCCTTTTCTTTTAAAACTTGAACATTTGTTTTATTGGGATCTTCCAAGGCAGCCTATATTTTCCCTAAGGTAATATATTTTTATAGACAAATCAAATGGTTAGGGACACTACATTTCATGCATTTTTTAAAAAGTATCTCTTCTCAATTAGAATTTTAAAAAACCCACACAAACAAAAGTATACCCAAAACAAGAGAAAATAATGTTCTGCTGTTACATCTGGCATACATTGCATGTCAAGAAAGCAATCTGCATAGATACTCAAAAAAGAAGATGAATGGAAAGATAGATGAATCTGAAAACAGGAGGCATCTTTCATTATTCATTTCTGTTGATAATTAGAGGGCACTACTAATTAGATCATGTCAAAGAAATTAAGATAAAAGAGGAAAAACATTAAATCTATTGCATTTTTGAGCAGGCCATCACATCAGAGGAGTTAGTGAAGTTTACACAAATTGCTTGCTAGAGAAGAAATGAAAAAGCTCTTTTAGACGACAAAGGAAGGAAACTTTATTCTAGAAAGCTCTGCAAGTCTTCTGTTGGTATGTCATTACCAGCTGTTACACACACACAGACACACACACAGATAGAGACCCACAGAGACACACAAAGAGAGGGGGGAGGGTAGAGAGAGAAACTTGTGCAAGGGCTTTTATAAAGGATACATTTTTTGACATCATGAAATTGTTTTGGAGTTGGAAAAGCTATGTGCAGAAATGAATATATTTATTTGTAGAGGCTAAAAACTTCAATTCCCATTTTATTCTTGGAGTTGGGAAGGTGCAAGATAATCCACTATTTAAAATGAGCTATTCTGCTGTCTCAATTCAATAGTGTGTTTTCTAAGTGATCCAAGGCCTACATGGTATTCAGAGTCACATTTTGCTTCCTTTTGTGCTGGACCAAAAGTCAAATGCAAACTATAATGAGGCTAGAAATACAAACATCTTTTTTTATGAGATCATGGCATAGTTTTTGTTATTCAGATTGTGCTGCATTTATTTATTTTAAAATCAGCTATCTCACAGAATGTGAATCTGGGCAGTATAAAGACATAAAATAACAATATTTATAGGATGATCAAGTAATGTTGGTTGTTGCGTGATGAGCTTCCCTTTGGGAAGATAATAAGAAGGTTCCCCAGTTATGACTAAGTTACTAGAAGACTATTGTCTGGGATTTTATTTTTGAGTCTGCAAGATGAAGGTAAAAAGGAAGCTTAGAAGACTCTCTGTTTGTATATTGTTCATGATTATGGCAGAGCAAAGTGCCTTCACTAAAATAAAACAAAGCATGATTGCATTAGGATTTATAATAATATAATAATATTGAAGTTCAATCCTGAGAATTGGTAGTATGTATGTAGCAGAGATGGCTAAAAAAATAGGAAAATTTTTGAGTTTTGTCAAATTCAACTGCTAGAGTTTGGGTATTAGAAATCTGGCAGTGATGCTATTATCAGATGCAGTTTCCATAAACATGATGCATTCCATGAAAGTATTCACATTAGTCTCTTAATCGGAGTAGTAAAAGCTGATCAATGGGACATACTTTTCAGAATGGTCAGATATCTGTAGAACTGAGCACAACAACTTTTTTGAATTCTCGATCAAATCTGCAAGCCAAGAAATTGGATGGATAAATTTTCCCAGAGAAAAGAACATTTCCAACATTTGCTCAAGGGCTAGACTAAACCCATAACAGTAATGGCACTGCCATTGAAAAAGCTCAGTGAAAGCAGGATGCCTAACTCTTCAAGAGACATTTATATGAGAAAAAGTGGTACACTTGCACATACTTCTTGGCCATTTTGCAATGAAATAAGTGCAAGAGCGCTATGACGGCTTCGCAAAAATTTTGCTTTGAAATAATTTCTAGAACAGATTCTCCTCTTTTGTAAAATTAAAAGAAACATGCAGAAAATTTTCTGGGCCCAGCATCAGATCTTGTTTAGTCAGGCCAGATGTCTAACCACTATTCCTAGATATAAATTGTTCCTTTCCTTTGTGAGTTATAATACAGGGCCAATCAGGGTTTAATCCTTTAAATTTAAATTCTTTAAATCTATTATCAGTAAATCTGTTAATAAAGTAGTAGTTTAGCTCTGATTTTTCTCCTCCCCCGCAATTCTGAGAACAGTCTGGTGAAAAGATGTTGAGAATCTCAGAATTTAGCAGTTTTCTTGTAGACATTTCATTACCCAAACTGATGCTAGTCACTTAGTGCTAGTTATGTAGTTTGGGTAGTGAAACGTCTGCAACAAATGCTGATACTTTTCTGGAATATAACACAAGCAATAATGGAATGGAAATTTGGTTCAATTAGTGAGAGAATGTCTTCAACAAGTGAAATATACTCCTGTTTCAATAGGATTTGTCCATATTCTGCAGAACATTAAGATGGCTTTGCCAGAACATTAAAAAAGATCAAAATAATAAAAGACCAAGATTCAGCCCAGTCATCTTCAGCCAATAATATAGTTATGATTTATAGAAACAATTTAATTAGAAATATTTATCTCTGTGCCAAATCTCCCTTAATTTTTATCATTGTTTGAGCAAGTGACTTCTATTCTTATAAGTTATTTTCAGGATCCTTGAGAAATGTTTTTTGAATTTATTTTTTTATTTAAGTTACTGTAGGGTTCTGCAGGCGTTCTGTTGCATAGCTCTCTATCCTGAAGCTTCTTTGGTTTCCTACATTTCCCAATCTGAAAAGATCTCATGGAAGCAAAGGAACCTGTGACCTCCTAAAGACGCAACTGTAAAATCAGGAACAGCATATTCTCTCTCTCTCTCTCTCTCTCTCTCTCTCTCTCTCTCTCTCTCTCTCTCTCTCACACACACACACACACACACACACACACACACACACACACACAGAGAGAGAGAGAGACAGACACACACACATTTCATAGCTAAATAAACCCAATAACACCATATCTTTAAAAATTTCAGCAAAAAAATATTCTCTTTGAAAAAAATATACATTAGAAGTAAATTTCCTTTTATGACTAGCTAGTAGAAAAAAATATTTAAGAGATAGTTAGTTGGTGTGAGATTAAGGCAACATGTGCATATATTTATAAATATTTTATTATTATTATTATTATTATTATTATTAATAATAATAATAATAATAATAATAATAATAATAATAATAATTTTATGCCACTCATCTCCCCTATAAGATGATTCTGGGAAGCTCACAGATTGTAAAACAAATAGAAAAATAATTAAAATATTTAAAAATATTAAAACTATACAGATTAAAATTTAAAATTATTCAAGACTGATGGCCTTAATCCAGCTTAACCTAATCAAACAAATCCTGTAAGAAATAAAACAAAAAGGACCAAACACCTCTTCACCAACAATTAATACCCAGATTAGCAGAGGTTATCACCACGATAGACCAAGATCAAGAACTAAACAATACCCCAATCAAGGAACTACCAACTCAGACAAACAAGTTAACAGTAAACAACACCCTAAACAAGGAACCACCAATACCGGCTGGGCACGCCACTAGTACATAAAGAGAGCAAATCCCATGTCTTTCTAGCACTGATGTTGTTACTTAGTTTGGTAATGAAACATCTGCAAAAAAACAAACTCATTTATATAAATCACAAATATTAAAGGTTTTTTTGTGCATCAAAGCATTATAATTCATTGGAATATTTCAGTGGAACAGAAAACAAAACATAAAATTGTATGAAAATACTTCCGACAAAGAATAATCCTAAATATGTCACACATTTAATAACTACCGTTAAGTTGCACATGTGCTTCTTACTTTTGTTGTAAACTGTGTTCTCTACTCCCTATTCCCACCCCCCAAAATGTCTGCATTAGAAATTATGACTCAGAACGGTATTCTCATTCCTATATATCAGCTATTTTCAGTTTCAGTATTTTACACTGTAAAAGCAATGTATTGTCACTTCTTTAGAGCTGGTTAGAGTGAGATCAGTTGAAACATTGTTGGCCAATAACATGTTTTAAATATACATTATTGGCCAATATGTACTTTTAGATATAAGAAAAATCTAAACAAATGCTAGCATCTAATTTGCTCTCTCTGTCTTTCTCTCCCCCTCCCCTTTTCACAGAATATTCCAATGCATAATAGTGTGGGAGATGCTATGACAGGACCCGGGGTGCACCAGCTCTCTAATCCCAGGATGCCAAATCATGACACCAGCATTGTGATTCAACAAGCCATGCCATCACCACAATCAAGTTCAGTCATAACACAAGCACCTTCAACAAATCGGCAGATTGGGTAAGTACATCTTCAGTAGTTGTAAAATATTATGAAGATGGAAACTATTTCACTTAATATTTTTTCCTGTAAAATAGAAGAAGGTGATACTTGTATTGGTGGCTTCACCAGCTATGACGCCAAGTATGGAGACTGAATCCTATCTTTTTATTATGTCTTTTATAATTTAAATGTAACAGGGCAAACATATTCTGTGGCACTGTTGCTGAATTATTATACTTTACAGAATGTAGTTAGGATGATCTGGTTTATAATAAAAAAAGCTTGATTGTTTATGTATGTCTTTCTGTGTGTACATATATGTGAGGGATGTGTGTGTGTGTGTGTGTGTATGGTCACCTCTTTTGCTGATCAAACAACCATAAGAGATTTTACTCATATATACTAAGCTTTGATTGGATGTACTGTTTACTATTGGCCTAGATCAGGCACGCTGCCTGGGAAATTTTGGGAATTGCAAATAACAAATCTTAAAAGTTGTTAAATTTGTGAAACACTGGCCTAGATTATCCTTCCTATTCTAGTCTCCCCTCTCCCCAATATACATTTCTCTGCTCACAAATTTGATAGCAGTATTACTTAGATTGGAAATTGATACAAGTCATTTTCTGATGTTGTTCTTCAGTTACTGAACTTTCCTGCCTCAGAAGGTCAGATTAATGTCTCATTATGTGCTTTTAGATAAACATAATAGATGTTCTGTTGAGCTTTTATTTGTTTCCAATGTCATTTTATCATTTTATTGTGATTAATGCTACTACTGTGTATTACATATTCATTACAACATTCCCTTTCTAGGTGAGAATCATTATGCAAACCATAGAAAATAAGCAAGAAATAATAAACCAAAGGAACCAAAGGCAGGTTATTTAAAAAAGGAAATATAACTACATGTAATTTACCCCACCACTTTTCTTCATGCTTCATAATTCCTCATAAATCTTCTATGTCCATATACTGTTCCATACATTTTTTTGTTATTTTTTAAACCTGTTCACTTTTTAAGTATCTCAAGCCACCATATTCTTGGTTCACCTTTTCTTTGCACTCCCTTAACTCTTCATATATTTCTATTACATTTGACTTTGTTCTGTCTCTATAATATTAATGTATTTTGTACTTCCCCCTTTGTATTTAATCAACCATCAACATTCATTCATTCTTGATCCTATCTCTTTTTCTTTCATACATGCCCTTCTTAAATATACATTCACACTACAATCAGCATTTATATTTCCCTGACATACTTCAACATAATAACATTGACAAGGCACCTTTATATATATATATATACCTCTTGCTCAGTTTTAAACAAAACATTTATTCTTCACAATATAATACCATATTCACTGCATTTCAGCCAGCATTTGTAGGTTAAAATTTATCTATCCATTTCCCCATCTACAGTAAACATTCTGTTCAAGCGCACAAATGTTCTGTATCTACTTGTATCCTTGCAATTATACTTTCCTTTTTTCCTGTCAAGCATCCTGATTGTTGATACATTATTTTTCAGACCATAGTCCACATTGCTATATGCAATTTGTCTAACATTCACTATGACTTCAGCCAATAACATAGCATCATCTGCGTTGGGTACATGCAAAGTATGCTGTATCTATGCTTTGTAGTATACTTCATGTACTGCAAAGTATGGATACATTCTCATATCTAAGCAACAGACTTCTCACATGATCAGAAATATTAATTATACATTTATGCTTGAATACATTAAACAGCAAAGGGGATGTTCTGATCTTACTTTCTGTTGCTGGTTACGAAATCGTTATACTTTACTTTATATAGTATACCCAAATTCATGCCTACTGACTTTATTATATGCTTTTTCTATATCAGGAAATGTACGATTTCTTTGCATTCATACATTCGTCAGTGAATGCCACTGCTTTTGTTGCTGTTACTCTTGTTGTTATTTTTTTAAGTTGAATATATTGTCTGAGCACTCATTTAATTAGTGATCTGCAAAAATCTCAGCATATCAATTCTTGATGTCTTATTTAAATTTTTTTGCATATCTAGGCATTCAGTCTTCTTTTTCACATAATACTTTTGGGATAGCAATTTTCTTTTGCATTCCTTACCTTGACTGATTAAACTTTCTGGGAAAATTTAAATAGTACAATCAAAATAATTTCACTTTGATGAAACTATTTATTTATTGAATTTATCTATATTTTAAACATTTCTTAAGCACAAAAGGCTGTTTTATAAAGGTTTTATTTGAAATTTCAGGTTTTCCTTCTAATATAATGCAAGATTAGTTATGGTACAGTATTGTTTGGCACATAACTAATTAGAAGAATGTAATACTTTGGGAAGATTTATTTTTAAAAACCCGTATATAATGAATGCAAACAGTACAAATATGCTCGGTCGTGAACTTTAAACTTTTTAGCAGTGTTGTTATGGTCTTAGTGTATTTAAAGGGGGAGCAGAATCAGGCCCAGAAGGCTGTAGAGAATCCCACTTTAGCAGCATCCTGATTTTAATCACAACTGTAGATAGCTGAGTGTCAAAATATGGCTCGGCCACCTGCAAATGTTTGCACTGGCTGCAGTCCAACCAAAACAACAAATGGCAAGATAAAGTTTCATTTAGGCCGTTGCATTCAGCCTTTAATTCTGCAAAAGGTTGAGATTCAGCTGAAGCATGTGCATTGCATTCCGTGAAGCAGAACTGGATGTGCCTTGATAATTTAATTTTTATTTCCAAATTTTCCTATTATTGTCTTGAAAATAAGAAAGAAGGTGGATGCATAAAAATAAAATAAAGAGTAATAGTTTGCTGAAAGTTGATTTATGTCAATATATAAGTTTCTCCAGATAGCCTGGCATTCAACTAGCGGTGGAAGTCTAGGGCCCTAAAACTAGAGCTGCAAGATAAGAAGGGATAAAGACTCAAAGATTATTTGGGAAAAACAAAGAATATTAGTATGTGGGAAGAATGTATTACTTCAGAAACAACTTAGAAAACAAGAACTGATTCTATCATTTTAATAGAAACAAAAATATCTTCATTACTTGTGGGTATTCTAGTTTACAGAATAGTTACAGAGTGTACTATAAAGCATAATTTGACATATTTTCCAAAAAAATGTTTGTGTATAAGAAAATAAAAGATAAAATATAATAAAAATTGTATTAATAAGTGACTTCCAACTATCACAACAAGTACAAGCCAATTTAATAAATTTTTTATAATATTTTATTAATTTTCCAATTTTACATTTAAGTATTTAAAAAGCAACGTGGTGGCTGGGTTAATCAATAGTTCAATAACAAAATCTTTAGTACAAATCTCAAGTTACAACATCAAATATTTCCTCTCTTTTTCCCTTAACATTTACTGTCTCGTATTTAAGCTAATACAGTTCTTATTATGTCAACTCTGTAAAAACATCATTATTACATTTATCAATAAATTTTAGCTTATACATATCTTAATTATTTTTTACATTCAAACTTCATAAACAATCCATATCCTGTTATTAATTTTTTCCTAATTTTTAGTTTCCCATCAATATTCCAATTTAACCTTTGATATTTATAATTTTCAGGCTTTAGGTAATCAAGATTTCCCTTATCTCAATTCATAACAGAATCTAATATCCAAAATACACATTTTATCTATTTAAATATAATCTTGTTCTATTTCCTAAAAATTGTCTATTTCCCACCATATTAAAATCTACTTAATAATACAATATCCCCTTTAATAAATCAAAATTATATATATATGTATGTATGTATGTATGTATGTAGGTAGGTAGGTAGGTAGGTAGGTAGGTCTTTGGTTATTCGGGTTTTCTCCAGTGTAAAATTGGAAGTGTCTTGGCGACGTTTCGACGAAGTCCCATTCATCATCTTCAGGCTGGTGTTTTCAGCTTCATGCTTCTAGGAGTAATGTGTGATCGCAGCTGTTTCTTCCTTTTAACTGCCAGTGGGGTTTGAACTGATTGGGTGGGAACTTGGCTGTGTTCTAATTGGGTGGAGGTGTGTTCTGATTGGTTAAGGAGCTTGGCTGTGCTCTAATTGGATGGGGGGTTGGCTGTGGTCTGATTAGATGGGGAAGTGTTCTGTTTGGGTGGGGGCTTTGTTGTGCTCGGGTTAGTCTGAGTTGCAGGGGGATTTGAGATGGTGAGCTTTGTTGCTGTTGTTTGGCTTTGTGTTCGTGGTCGTGCCACATCTTTATGGTGGGTGTCAGTTTGCTTCATGTATGGATTGGAGGGGTTTAAAGTGGCTAATGATGCAGTTGTGGACTGGCTTCTAGTTTGTGGTCGTGCCTCATCATCTGTATGGGTTTGGGTTTGCTTTTTGCGTGGATTATCTTAACTTTTAATTTTTATTCAAGTATAAAATATTTTTTATTGTCTATGAGTATAGATATTCTTCTATTATATAACGTATTTAATACAGTTCATAAACAACTTGTATAATTGGGGAGGTCTAAAAATTGTGAGATGAGAAATTCAGAGACGTTAAATTCTGTCAACATTAGGTAATTTTTCTTATCAACAGCATTATTCTAAGTGTGTGAAAGCATATGTTAAAAGAATAAAATATTTTATGTTCCCAAGAGGGTCCCAAAACATATTTTGGAGGCATATCCAAAAGTTGGATCTGGACAATTAATTAATTTATTGCAAAGTTGCATAACCTGTAATCTGCTTCACAACACTTCTGTAGTATTCTGCATAAGCTACAATGCGGCACATATTTGCATTTGCTAATGAAGATGTGTGGTAGTTTAATTCTTTGGTTTACATGAGTGGGCATCCTTAACACTGACCCCTATTGTTGCATTTTCTCACACTCCTGGGGAGAACCTACTCTCTTGCAACCACTGCCCATCCTTTTGTTGAGAACATTCCTTTCTGTATCTTTAGATTTACTCAGAGAGAATGGAATATGAAACATCATTATTTGGATTCTTCCTGAAAATCAGTAAAACAGCCAGGATGTAAAAGAGGCTAAATTCTG